TTAATTTTAAAATGGATTGATATAGGAATAAATATCTGGTAAGTTAAAGGTAGAAGCAAAATGTAGCATATAATAGGAGGAAACTTGGTAGTTCAGTAAAGAGGAAAAGATGAATTTTAAAACATTCAAATAAAGACAAAAACGTTAAAGTTCCATGGAATACATCTGGTCTTTGTGCTTTAAGAACTCTTTATTTATTCACTTTGTCCTTGGGCTATAACTTTAACATGGCAACTGGTGATTACACCCAAAATTTAACCAGGAATTCTTGATGCTCATTTGTTAAAGATTCAAATATAAACAGGATTTCTATTACCACAAGAAAGGAAAAGCAGTGTCTTTATCCATAAAGAACTTAAGTATATAAAACTTAAAATATAAACCCAAGCATAGATGGTATAGATTCTGGCTATGCAGAGTTATGTCCTTAACTCTGGAGAAAAAATTGCTTATATTTTCCATCCAGGTCATATAAATGGATTCACAAAGAATAGAATTCCTTTATTTTACAGCAATTAAAAGCTGCAAGTAAAAACTAATACCTGAAAACTCTCACCATGTAAGAATTCCAGTTAAAACACAAACATCCATCAAATTAAAATAAACTTAAATAACTTTAATATTTCCAATATAAATCAAAGTAGGAATAACTCCTTCATTAGGAGGATGTACTCAATTCATTAGGAGGATGTACTCAAAAAGAATGGTCAAAAGAGCTGGGTTGTAGCTCAGTGGTAAAGTGTTTACCTAGTGTGTGTGAGGCTACAGTTCAATTTCTAGCCTGCAAGCTCACACACACAAGCACCACACAGAGAATGGTCACAAAAGGAAACATAATATACATTATATATGTTATTCATCCAGCAGTTTCCCTGTAAATTATTTAGTTTTGTGCTGATAGACAAAAAACAAGGAGACAGCCAAACAAGGAATTATATTCAGATTACTCAAGTGTTCCATTTAAAGAAATGTAACTTTATGGTTTTGCACTTCCTGGTATTTATGTTATATGGGCTTGCCCTATGTGACTTGTCTTGGCCTATAGGACACTACCAAGTCCAGCACCAATGGGCTTGATAAAATGTTTTCATATTGTTGCTTGTAAAGATTCCTCTTGGAAGCCAGCTAATGTGAAACCTAGGCTAGATAGTGAAAGACAAGAAGTCATGGAGAGAAAGACCTTGAAAGACAAAAAGCCATCTTGGGTCTCTCATCCCAATTGAGTGTTCAATTGAATGCAGCTGTATGAATGACCTCAGCTATACCAAATGAAGCAGAATTGCCCAGCTGAGCCTAGTTAACTCATACAATCATGAAAAATGATAAATGTGGGGGACGTCTTTCATGTTACCATAGGTAACCAAAATAGTTTTATTAAATTTGTTTTTTAAAAAGGAATTAAAGTTTGGTTTGGGTGAAGAGTTAAAAAATCAAAAACTTTATCTATGTGTAATGTTAAAATATAATAGGACACAACATAAATTCCTGACCTTAAATTTTATCTCTTTTAGTTCTATTTAACTACAATGACTCAAATAACAATATCATTTCACAACACAAGTCTGTTGTATCCTAGGTGCTTTTGTCTTTAATATCACATTATACTATATTTCCTTGGAAGCATGACTAATTCCATTCAGAGCAGGGGAGATACAAAGTGGGACAACCAGTTAATGTCACTAAATAAGAAATCTTTAAAAATATATTGGGATCTTGTGTACATCCACAATACTGGGCTCCTAATAAGATATATTTCCATGCTTGTATAAATATATCAAAATAGATTCTACTATCATGCATAACTAAAAAAGGAACAAATAAAATAAAATATATGGGATCCTACCAAAGGAACAGAGAAAACAGATTGCAGTGGCTCCACCATGTCAAGACATGAATATTTAGCCTCAGAAAAAAAATTAAATAACTTGTTTTAAAAAGTCACAAATACATAATGATCCTAAAAAAGAAAAATTTTTTAAACAACTTGTATTATACCTCTTTTATTCATAAAGTGAAATTGTTGCTTAATTTTAAAATTTACATACATTATAAGGAGATTAAAGTATCTCCATTTAAGGGCTAAAATGATCAAAAGAACAAAAAGACAGAACATTTTCCCCCATTAAAACATTAATGGATAGGCTAATGAAACTTCCTCCTTCTCCCCTAAGGCCTTTCTGGACATTCACCAATTAGAGGACAAGCTCATTATCTCAAACATTAGGAAGTGTGTTAGTACATTCCATTCACAGGTTTGGGAGACCTTCCTGAGTGCCTTAGCCTTGAGCACTGAAAGATGTAAAGTGAACCTGCAGCACTAAAAACCAAGTGAATTTTACCTTTAGAGTGTACTTAAAATAAATGTTTTCTCTCATTGTATTTAGTGATAGATTTTAACAATTATTGCTAGTTGCCTCCTTAATATTTCCCTTGCCTTGTTTGGCTCATTAGGACAAAGGACAAGGATGCAGGTCAAAGACTCACATATTGTACTTCCTTTTAATATCAATCTAGAGAAGCAAGTTAAGAGGTTTTGTCACTCTAAACTGACACCTACCATTAACTCTATTTTTGCTGATCTATATGAAGAGATGCCTAGAAAAAACAATTTACTCATGAAAATTAAAAAAATATATCCCCCAAACTACTATTTCACAGGCTTGTGTGTGTAGCTTCAGGCCCTTATTTTAGTGACATGAAATTTTAAAAAGCAAATTATATAATTTTAGTAATGGTTAATATTAGGTAGTAAAGCAAGCTACAGTGAAAATATATTAAAGATGAATGATTTTAAATTAGAAAATATTTCAAACTAAAACTGAAAAATCAGATATAAGAAATTAATTTAATATATAAAAAATTAAGTATATAGGATATTTACCCAGCACCATCAGGATGTGTGTCTATGTAGGAAAGCATATACCCAAGCCTCATTCATGTCAGGACAAATTTAGATTAAACCAGAACTGAAGTTTTTTTCAACATATATATATTTAATATGCCTATGATTGTTGAATAAGATAAATTCAAAACTGTTCTTGTAGTTTAGGAAAAAAACCATCAGAACTGCAATTTTCATTATAAAAACCTATCTTATCATTGGCATGAGAGAGCATTATTTTATTTGACTTTCTCATCAATAGTTGTTCCAATAGTGGCCATATAAAAGAAGGCTTAATTGATTTAAATTAAACCTAATAACATAAGCCTAGTTTCACTGGTATACTTATTTTTTTAATTAAAAGAGAGAAAGAAAGAATAAGAAAGAAGGAGAAAGTAGTCATGTAATATTACCCTACATAACTCTTTTTTTTATAACTTTATTTTATTTATTGATATGTGGTGCTGAGGATCAAACCCAGGGCCTTGCAAATTCGAGGGGAGTGTTCTACAGCTGAGCCATAACCCTAGCCACTACCCTACAAAATTCTTAATCTATTTTTGTGGAAAAGAAGTAAATCCCATTTTCCAAGATATCTTCTATGATCTACAATCTGGTTAGTTAGTTATTTGTCTTATACTATTTACATATTCAACACAAAATCATTCTTTTTTCTGAGAAATGTCTTCATTTCCTAACAGCCTTAAAGAATCTTAGCTAAAGGGGTGCAAAGAAAAAGAACAGGCCACAAAATTGTATAGTTAGGCAGGAGATTGCACTGCATAAAGTGAGTATCCAGGACTGCTGAATAGCAGTTCCAGGCTGTACTGTATGACAGTTAATGTCACTTTTTAGTTAAAAATTTCCATATACTTTAGTCAACTGTGACCTACTGCTCTACTACTACCAAAATGCAATAATAGTATTAGTAATAAGAATCACCAATTATCCAGAAAAGATAATTATCTTCATTGTGTTTTGCTCATTTATGGCAAAGAAGAAAAAAATTACAAAGATTTTTATTAAAAACAGCTAAAAATCATAAGTGTTACTTGATTTTTTGGAGGGATGGCGATACTGGAGATTGAACTTAGGGGGACTTGACCACTGAGCCACATCCCCAGGCCTATTCTGTATTTTATTTAGGGGCAGGGTCTCACTGAGTTGCTTAGCACCTCCCTTTTTCTGAGGCTGGCTTTGAACTTGCAATCCTCCCGCCACAGTCTCCAGAACGGATTACAGGCGGATGCCATCAGGCATAAGTGCTAGTTTTAAAGGGCTAATTTTAACTACTAAGACACTTCCTCAAGAACTTTTCCCACTACTATTCATGATAATTTAGGTTGTGTTGCATTTTAATTTTTAAATCTAATTTTCAACTACAATCTTGTTAACAAGTCTGAAATATAGGTCTGCATACTTAACATGCACTATAAGACTCTTTCACACATACCCCGTTGAGTGAATTTTATTTATTAGTTTGGTTAAACCAAACTAACGTTATTAAATACTGCAATGAATTACAGTTAAGACTAGATGAGCAGGCCTCACAGTTATTATCTGGAATATCATTATCAGAGACCATACTTAAACACCTCCAGATGTCCCCAAGATGTTGGTAATGTAGTGAAGTCTCAGCACTGCTGAATTTGACCTTAATGGTTTTCAGCTCTTGGGGAGGAACAAAAGAGCTCCTCGGTAAGATCTAAGTTAGAATTCTGCTTAGCTAAGGCTTCTCAACCCTTGCACGCCATGACGCACTTTGTGGGAATGAGTGAGTGAGTATTCTAGACGGTAGCTCCCAATCTGCATGCTAACTTTGGCCATCCTTTGACCATTGGGTTCAGACAACCTTTTCATGTTAAAAGGCGGGGTTGTAATGATTTCCAACTCTGCAAGCCACACTGTGTGTGTGTGCTACACGCCTTTCCACTGCAGGAAAGCAGAATAACTGCTGCTGTGTCTCATTGAAACTTAATATTTATGAGCAGTGAAATCTGAACTTTTTACTTTTTCACATGTCCTATTTATGTTTTGAAATGTCAAGGCCATTCTGGGCAGATCAGCCAAAAACAGGCTGGCATCGCAGGGAACGCGTCCTCCTCCCCTGCTGTCTCACCCAGGCGTCTGGAAGAGGCCCAGGGTGGCACAGGGCGAGTCTCCCCGCGGAGGAGGCCACACTCCAAGGGCTCCGCCTGCCCGACAGCGCCTCCCGCACGCTTGCGGTCCCGGGTCCGCCTTGTGGCGGCGCGGACGCGAGCAGGGGGACACATCTTGGCGCCGGGCCAGCACCCTGGACATTGGGGCAGGAGGAATGCCGGACGCGGGAAAAGCAAGAGCCGCACTTCCAGTGGCCGAGACCTGGAGGCTGTCCGAGGACCCTCGGGTCGCCGCCGCCTAGGCCGGTCACTCACTCGGAAACGCCGGCGCTGACGAAGGCCATAGCAAAAGCGCGACTAGAAGGACCACGGGCTTCATGGGCGTCGTCCGCAGCACTCCGCCATGCGACGGGAACGTCCTGGGCCACCAGGCCGGGTACCTCGGGGCTGAAAGGGAAGGGTCCCACCTCAGGGCCCGGGGCGCCCCACAACGGTCGGGTCGTCGCCACCGCAACGTAGCGGCGGCGTGGGGGAGGGGTGGCGCCGAGGTCGGCCCTGCGCGCCCGCCAATGCGCATGTGCGCGCGGCCTCTGGAGCGGGCGCGGAATGAAGGGTCGTGACGCCGGCCCCACGCTGCGGGGTCTCACGTGGGGACACAGCCCTGGCCAAAACCCCGGCCCTGCGCAGGAGGAGCTGTCCGGTGTCTGAGACAACCTGGCAATTAAAAAAAAAAAAAAATAGCGTGAACTGGCTATAATAGAGGGAAGCACCCCGCGCCTCTCAGCGCTGAGGCAGATGTCCTGCTGTCCCTAGGGCTCCAAATGGAGGAGCACCCCAAGAACTGAAGACAGTAACCATAAAGCATCATCTAAAAAATGAAAACAGCTCAGGCTAATTGCATGGGGGGAGGTAGGCAAGTGCATTAAAGTACTTAAGGGGCTTAGGTAGATTGTCTAGTTGGTTTCCAAAAGATTGTTTCTTTGATAATGGGAGAGTGTGACTACAAAAGGGGTCATGAGATAGCTTTGGAGAGTTACAGGCAATGGTGGTGGCCATAAGAATCTATACTTGTGTTAAAATTTTTAGAACTGTACACCAAAAAATACATCTTACTGTACAATTATTTTTTAATTGACATATATTTACATCTTTGCCCTGGGAAGCAGGATGTTGGTATTGAGCTGGGGAAAGTTGTAATTAAATTTGCAGGGTATTGAGCTGGGGAAAGTTGTGATTAAATTTGCATTTCAAAAGTCTCACTTTTCCTGCAGCCTCTAGAATGGGTTGAATTGGCACATGCTCACAATTCCAGCAGCTCCGGAGGCTGAGACAGACAGGAGGCTTGATAGTTCAAAGCCAGCCTCAGCAAAAGCGAGGAGCTAAGCTACTCAGACCCTGTCTCTAAATAAAATGCAAAATAGGACTGGGGCTGGGGGGGGGGGAGATGTGGCTCAGTGGTCGAGTGTCCCTGAGTTCAATTTCTATTCCCCCCCCCAAAAAAAATGGGTTGAAGGGAAGCAAGACTAGAGACAAAGAGCCAAGTTAGGAGGCGGTTCTAGTAATCCAGGTATGGACTGATAAGGGTCTAGACTCCTGGTGGCAAAGGACATGGACATGTGGACAGATCTGAGACATTAGAACTAACATCAACAAGATTAGGGTGTTGTTTGAATGTGGAAATGAAAAGAGGAGGAGGTGATACCCCCATTCCTCTGGGAATGGGGTGGTACCATTTACTGAGATGGACAACAATTCAGGCACTTACAGGAGTAGAGCAAGATGATGGGGGAGAGGAGTTTGTTTTCATCATTGTTATAGTGAGGTGGGCTTGGGATTTCCTCCCACAGTGGCCTGTCCAGTGAGAGGATGGATGTGGGGCCCTGGAGAGAGCTGAAATGGAAGTGGAGGTTTGGAAGGCATCCAGCATCTAGAATTGGGGATATCTGCAGAAAGTCTGTAGAACAAGTAGGCTGTAGAGCCTAGGAAAGATTCCTGGGAAACATGGCATGCTGGAGAGCAGGATGGACCTGCAAACACCGAAAGTGGGGCAAGGAAACCAGGAGAACCAAGAACCTTTGTGGAAGAGTAGGAGTTTCAGACTGTCAAATACTTCTGAGAAGCCAACAAAAGAAGGACTTCATTTAGCAATGAGATCGTTGACAGAAGTAGTTTCAGTGGTGTGGCTCAGGCAAAAGCCAGGCCACAGTGAGTTGAGAGATGAGTTAGAGGTGATAAAGTGGTGACAGCACAGTATAGACAACTTTTCAAGATTGGTGCATGAGTCTTCAATGCACTTCAGCAGTGCTCAATCCACATACAGCAGCATGCTACAATCAAACAATTGCAACTACTTGGAAAGCAATCTGGAATATGTAACAAAAGAATTAACCTATAAACACTATGATATACTATAAATTCAGGGGGAGAAAACTTTGTGTTCTAAAATAACCATAATCTATGATTATGATCTATGATAATCAAAATACAAATTGAAAGAATGATAAAGTTATGGAATGAATGTTTGTGTCCCCCACCCCCATTCACATGTTAAAATCCTAACCTCCAGTGTGATAAGGAGGAATAGGAGCTTTTGAGGTGTTTGGTTATAGGGGTGGAGCCTTGAAGAATGGGATTAGTATTTTTGTAAGGCAGCTCCCTGAACCCTGCCTCCATGTGAGGATTCAGTGAAGACAGTCATTTGTGAACCAAGAAGTGACTCCCACCAGGTACCAAATCTGCCAGTGCCTTGATTTTGGACTTCCCGATTTCTAATTGTGAGAATTAATATTTGTTATTTAAACCATCTAGTCTATGATATTTTGTTACAGCCGCCTATATAGACTAAATGGCGAAACCTTCTCGTAGTGGATCGTATTTTAAGATATTAACTAAGCTCTCACCTTCTTTGGCTGCCTTGTACCATTACCTTTTTTTCTGTATTGAGACACTGGTAATAATCTTCTTAATATACTTGCTACAGGGAAGGATAGCTAGAATCTCAAACGAGGAAGATTTCTGGGAGCAGAAAAGAGGGGTTGAAGTGTGTACATGGAACCGCCCAACACGTATTGGGAGTCACTGAGAAGGCTTCTGTCTCTTTCTTTTCTGGGGAAACTGCCAACTTTTCAAACACACTCTGCATCCAACATGGGGCCAAGTACTTACGCAGGTCTGGCTGACTCAGTTGCTTTCGTAGACAGTCTAGGCAGACTGCTCACCAGGAGAGCTCAAAAATGCTGAGCAAGTTCCTCTCACCTCAGGAAGGCCTACAGTGTAGACCAGAAGGAAGTCAAGTATATGGATAATTACTGACATACAGCAAGTACTCATTAAATATTAGCCTGAGCAGGGGCCGACCTAATTCTGATTATAATGAATAGAATATGACAAAAGCAATGGGATGTCACTTTGGAGATGAAGACACAAAAAAACTATGTCTTCCATCTTGAGCACACCCTGTTGCTCTTGACTTACTGAGGGAAGGCAGGTGCACTTGTTAAGGAGCTGATATCTTCAGCCCACCACTAGGGATGACAATCATGTGAGTGAACTTGAAACAGATCCTCCCCAGGCAAGCCTGGAGATGACCACAACTCAACTGACATCTAGATTACAGCCTCAGGAGAGACCCCAAGCCAGAGGCATTGGACTAAGCCACACCCAAATGCCCAACCTACAGGAACTGAGATAATAAATGGTTGTTGTTCTGTGGAGGCAAAAGCATTTGCCCAAGCAAGAGCTGCAAACAAGTGCCTCTGTCAGTTTGCTCCTTGAAAGAGGATGCATGTGGAAAAACATCTGCATTTGGCTACACCATTTGATTGAATTTAAAAATCATTCTTCTTCAAGATCCATTCATTTTCATCAACCATTCAAACTGGCAGGTTAGGTGTATCTTTAAATCTCTGATGGTGTTACTTATTATAGCTAGACTCCAAGGGACTGATAGAACTTCTATTTGGACTGGGGGAAGGGGAGGAGAATAAAGCTCTGTGGGTATAAATTCAGGTTAAAATTTCTTTAATCACTTCACCCCAATAAGCCCTGCTCTAACCCATAAAATAATATGGTCCTCTGAATCTGTGGGAGTTAGCATAGCTACCCGACTGTCAATCTCAGAGGAGTAAGACTTCCCTTTTTTTAATCTATAAAGGACCAGAACCCATTCCCAGAAGGAAAAGTCAAGGAGTTAGGAGTCACAAGCACATTCCTATGATTCTACCACTGAATTCTTTCTGGAGGTTTCTGGCTTTTCCTTTCACTTAGAAGATTCTGCATTAGTCAACAGACTGGGCTTTTGGAATTTAGTGAGGAGTTGTAAGTGAAAGGATCAAGTGAGATGTCTGTTTTGTTATGCTTCAATTTGGGGTTATTTTTTGCTTGTTTGTTTGTTTAACTGTATAAATCACATAAGAACTTAGCAGCTTTTGTCTTGTGAACTATCAAAAAGGAAATGGTGAATGAAGCAACGTATATTTTTATGGTGGAATTCTGGTTTAAAAGAATGAATTTTAACTCTGTATTCTCTGTGATCTGTACTAACAGAAAAATTTCTAAAATATAGTATTCAATGGGAATAAAAACAGTGCAGGATGGGCTGGGGTTGTGGCTCAGAAGTAGAACGCTTGACTATCATGAGTGAGGCACTGGGTTTGATCCTCAGCACCACATAAAATAAAGGTATTGTGTCCACCTATAACCAAAATAAATAAACATTTAAAAAACAATAATACAGGAAAACATATATTTGTATTTATGTAAAATCATAGTACAGTTATGTCTATACATGAAATCACCACAAATTATTTGGGAAAGAAATAGAGCAAGATGAAAACAATGTTAGTTTCCAGGAAGAGAAATGGGAATGAGGAGAACAGGAAATTCCAAAAGGAGAATTTTACTTTTTACTCTTAAGTATTTTTTTTTGAATATTTGTTTTTTAGTTGTACAGGATACCTTTTTTTGTTTATTTGTTTTTATGTGGTGCTGAGGATCGAACCCAGGGCCTACCATGTGCTAGGTGAGCGCTCTACCACTGAGCCACAACCCCAGCCCCACTCTTAGGTATTTTTATTATCCCTTGAATTTTTCTAAACAAGATTACACTGTATTTTTTTCATTGCTTATGTAGATAAAAATAAAAACAATAACTTTTTACAAAATCCAGATGCTTGGAGAAAGGAGGCCCATAAGTAGAAACATGAATCTGGTGCCTCATGCTTTTCCTTACTAACTTCACTGAATTTTTTAAAAATTTTTTGTGTGTGGGGGTACAACTGGGGATTGAACACAATGACATTCTCTATCACTGAGCTATACTCCCAGCCCTTTTTATATTGAGATAGAGTCTCACTAATTTGCCAAGGCTAACTTTGAACTTGTGATCCTTCTCCTCAGTCTCACAAAAATCTGGGACTACAGGCAGGTACCATATTTCCATCCCATATTTCCAA